CTGTATGGTGGAGTTTTCTAGAGGTTGACAGTGACATGTGTTGTCACAGCAGAGTGAATGAAGAAGCAGATATTGAGTGAGAGGTCTACCTGTCTACTTGTAAGCCAGAACGTTACAGAGATTGGCAAAAGTGAAAAACAATGCCACCTTCTCACTAAATTAATAGGTTTTGTTACATAGATGTTACTTATGTTAACATGAAATGGGTTTATATTTTAAATGGAATTAATTATAATAAATTATTTAAAAATTATTTAATTTCTAATGAAGTAGATATTGATTTAATACCCATTGAAACCAAGTTGCTGAGACATTCAACACATTTAAAAGAACAAAAAATGAAACTTGAGAATAAAAATGTTTAAGAATGTAACCAAGTGTAAGGGAAATAGCAATGTCCTGTGAATTGAGATAACCTTGTTACCTCCAATATACACAACACACTATACACCCCCAGCCCACCACATATCCCAACCAAGCTCTTCCTCATCTCCTACTTAAGAAGTAAAAAGCAAGCTTAATTAACAAAATGTTAACACTACTCAACAAAGCAATTAAAAAGAAAAAAGTTCCCAATCAAGAATTGCAATGGCCTGAATGTCTATATCCCTCTACAATTCATATGTTCAAAACCTCACCCCTGTGGTGATGGGAATTTGGGGTGGGTAATTGTTGAGAGATGCTTTCGTCATGAGAGTGGAACCTTCATGGATGGGTTCATTCCCTATACAAGAAGACCCCAGAAAGGTCATCTGGGCCTTTGCCCGCACTTCTTCTCTATGTTTCAAGACACAGAACATCTGCTGTTTGTAATTCTAAGGAAGAGGTACTATGTCTTCACTTTTTATTTATTGTAATGCATATTTACATATGAAAAATATAGTTACATTGATTGGCTTTTTGAGGAGGGAGTGAAGAACATGGAGAGAGGAAAAATCAGCTGGAATTTTGACCGCTGTGACTATATTAATGTTTACTCAAAGTATAAAATAAAATTTAAATTTAAAAAAAACTAGGAATACTTACTTTATTTTATGGAATGAAAGTTGCCCAATTCTAGAATTGTCAAATAAAGCCAATTAAGATCTTTAAATTTCTTTTTTTAATTAAAATTTTTTTTTAATTTAAAAAACAATACAAGTCCAATTTCTTTCAAATACCTCCAGATATTTGGTTTCCAGATCCAGACCTAACAACCTGAGAATTTGATTGTTGTTTTTTTTTTTTTGGGTGGTACAGGGTGCTTGCTTTTTTTTTTTAATAAATTCATTTTTCTCTACCAGATAAATAAATTCCTCGAACAAAATGACCACCTGTAGTACTTACATAGCAACGTCTTGGAGTGCCCTGCAATACTCAAGACAGTGCTAGGCAAAAGCAATCCTCAATAAAAATGTGTTGCATTAACTGGTAAGTCTGTTCCCAAGGAACTCAAATGATATCACTGAGCCTACTTTCTGTAGCAAGTTGCTTTTTGTGATGAAAATGCATAGGACTGGAGCAGTAGGGTGGTCCAGTGGTGGTCAGCAAGAAAATATCAAAACAAACTTTTTAAAAGATTTGGTATTTTACATTAAAAATGATTGAAATAGTCATCACGGGAAATATAAGTCTTTTTGGCTGGATTCCCTACAAGTATTTTCTGTGTTTTGAATTGTTTTTTACTTGTTTTTATAACACTGTCATTCTTTTCAAGGTGGGGTTTCTTAAAACTGAATCCAGTTTGGAAAATCAAATGACATGGGAGGATGTACTGTGATGATGTTATCTGCTTGTCTCTATTTTTGGATAAATCAGTGAAGCTGAGTGCTGTAGAAAAACCATTCAGAATCCCAGTAAAGGCATTGGTTCAATATCATATAATAAGATCTAACCAACCCCCTTTCAACTAAAGGACATATAATTTAGAAAAAGAAAGAAAAAAAGGCCTCCCACTCTTCCGTGGTGCTGGGGGATGGAACCCAGGGTCTTGAAACTAAGCAAGTGATCCACCACTGAGCCCACCCTCAGCCCCTACATAAAGGCTTTGGGGCTCCTCCTTTCCAATTTTTATCTCTAAACTAAAGTTTAGATCTTAAAATTGATCAAGTTTTACTTTCAGCAAGAGGTGGTTGACATTACAAAAGCAGGGGTTAAGTATTAGAACAGGAAAAAAAATTCAGTAGCAAAAATGATTTCCCATCATTTGAAGAGGCTATCACCCAAAAGTTTCAGAAGAAAAAAATTTATTTTATTCAAATTTGCTTTCAAACTTTTACAAGAGAGATAGGGAGTTGTGATCATTTAAAAACCAAGTGCAATTCTGAGTTTTGGTTGTTTTAGTAAACAGAAGACAGTTATTTTGTCGGAAACATCAGAGTTAATTTTTATTTCCAGATACATTGACAACAGGTTCAAGGCATAAGCCACTGCTACTTCCTACACCACCCTACTTCCTGATGTTCCATAATTTTCTTAATATGTTTCAGAGTTACCGACAACCACAGAAGTTTTTTAGATAGTTATTAGAACAATTTGATAATTTTCCTTATGTTTTAAACTGAATGTCAAATGTCACAAACACACAGCAGAAGAGCTCTGCTACTTGTGATGGGGCAAAGTCTTCCCTTGAGTCTCTGTGAGTTTGTCTCAACCAGATAAACAAATCTTTCTTGTAGCATCCCATGTCATAAACATTTGTTTATCCTTTAGCTTTATCAGCCTAGAAAGACAAGGAGAAAGTACTTTTTCTTCGTAATCTGCTTTATCAATTCTTTCTAAATAAAGTGACTCCCTTCTTGAAGAGAGTTGAACTTTTCTAATTTCAAATGTTTCCTTCTCAGAGAGAAGATAAATATGATCCTGTTTCTACATCTATGAAGCCAGCCTCATTTGACTTCTCTTCTGAACAGTTTCCCAACTTGGGTCTGCTCACCAGATTGCTGGATGCGTTGAGGACCTGGTTAGGGGCCAGAACACTTTAGGAATCTCGGCTGTTCTCAGGCCAAACTCTTGGCAGGAAACCAGGCCTTGTGTTCCAGGTCCCAGTGCCAGCGGCCAGCAGCCTAGTCTCTTTTATGATGGCTGGCTCCTC